TCCAATATATGCATTTGAAAGCTGAATGTTTGGGGAATCCAGCAACTATAGATACATTTCTGTGCTCTTATAAGTTTTGCTGTAATACGCGTTCCTTTTATGAAATGGAGGGGTGTGGGGAGGCGCCAAATGATTACATACTTTTGAGGGAGACGTAGTAACATCAAGTTTGGAAACCACTGGTTTAAGTAATGCAATAATTTAAATATATTTGTAAATATTTAAAAAAAATAGAAACATTCACAAAAATAACGGAAAATAAACTGAACACAAAAACAAAACAAAAAAAAATGTGAAGAAATCATCAATTTCTACTTTTTCCTCCTCTCCATTTCCTTGATCTTCTTGCAACGATTCATCATCCCCCTGTGAGCTTCCGTGCATTTGCAAGAGATGATCTGCCGTATTGCACTTTCGTAGACTTTGCATTTCTCCATCACGATATGAATGATGTCACCGATTTTCTTCGCGTCCAGCGTGTGTTTCGGCACCGAACTCTTCGGTCTTCCAGTCAGAGTGTGCGTGGCTAAAATGTCCTTGTTGAAAACCATCATCAGCAACTGACGAGTCGCCAAACTGTATGAGTTCCATGTGATCTTGTTGTAGTCGCGCGAAGAGATCATGGTACCATTCGGTCCTAAACGAATCGCATCCACACGAGGGACTACAGGTGGATCATCCCGAGAGACCTCTTCAGTTGCAGGCTCTTCAAAAACAATTTCTTCATCGATCGGTTCCAGGAAGTTCTTCGGTTCATCGTCGTCGATGACAATCACTTCATCTTTTGAGCTCGATTGGCCGGGAATTTGAGCTTTCAGATCGCAAATATTATCTGAAAAAACAACAGCTGATAAGATAGATATGTGAACTTTTCCTAATAACAATTAATAAATGATTTGAACTTGAAAGTATTCGACTCACCGGATGTATCAATAATGGTGCAGAAACGGACGATGTCCGGAAATTTGATGCACATTTGATCATCAAGAAGGACGGCGTCGCTCGTTTTGACGACTGAGAAATGTGCTGTTAAGTCATAATACTTCACCAACATGTGGCTGTGTTCTGTAGATTCCATCGAAGTGGCTGTGTCGAAGAAAAACAAAAACAAATGAATAATTACTCTTGAAGATATCGATGAGAAATACAAAGATCACCACTCACCCATTTTTTTTTTGAGGTTATAATTTTAGTTCGGAAGTTGGCGCTGACGTCGGACATCGAACGAACAACGACCCACGCAATATTTCAGGAGTTAAGTATGTAAAAGTCTTAGATATAAAGAATACCTTGGATTAGTAGGTGAGTGAAGATCCAACCGTAATGAATAACTTCTAAACTCTGGCTGTTTATTCACATATAAATCTTTCCCTTTGTTTTTTTTTGCTGCTCTTGTTGTTTTTTCTTTTTTCAATTCCAAAAAAACTAAGCGTTGGTTTGACCTCGTCTCATGCAGACAATGCCCTGAGATGTTTGAACAGACGTGTTTTTTGTTCGCACATCCGCCCGATTCAAATTCTTTGCATTTGTTTGTTTGTATGAAGAAAAAAAAAAGAGTAACGATTATGACTCTATATGTGAAGATTCTTATGTTTTTGTAAAAGTTCTTGCATTGTAAAGGTATCCGCATTCCAACGATTTGTCCCCTTTGTGTTTATTAAAGTGTACTTGGAGATTTCTTATGTACTAGATGGGCGTTTTGAAAATTCTGATTTATTAATATAAAGTTCGTCCTGAGACAGACCAATGTTTTGACTGTGGACGCCGCGGAGAATATTAAGGGCAACACAAACCGAAAAAGTTTGGAAACCCTTCGTTTATACAGAAAGACGTTCTAAGAGACTTTGCGGATGTCTTTTATAAGTAGTTTGTTTATTGGACACAACAATTTGACATTTTGTCAATTTGAAAATTTCTCAACTTTTTCATTTTGTTCAATGAATTTCTTAAATTTTGCAGATGAATGATGAGAACGAAAGTGATTTGTAAACGACACCAAGTTGCCCGCGAAGCTATTTTAAGTAGTGGTAGTGAATAGGTTTAGAAGAAATTCTTATTTTATCTTCGCTAATTCCACAATTGTGAAAAACTGTAGTTTAGCGACATCTAATACTTTGCGCACGAACGACAGATATATTTGTCCCATACACAGAAAACTTTGATCTCGTAAAATTACTTTGCTGAAAAAAAAAACAAATAAGAAACAAAAGATTCATCATTTTTACGTCAACTTGTCACTTTGACATTTTGTCAAGTTATCACTTTGACATTTTGTCTTCTTTGTCAATTAGAAAATTTCTCAACTTGTTCATTTTGTACAATGAATTTCTAAAATTTTGCGGATAAATTATGAGAATGAAAATGATTTTGTTGCATTTACAATTGCATCAGGGGCGAAGCAATTTTAAGTAGTGCTCGCAGTGATAATGAATAGATTTAGAAGAAATTGTTATTTTATCTTCGTTAACAATTTTGAAAAACTGAAGTTTAGCGACATCTAATACTTTGCGCACGAACGACGGATATATTTGTCCCATACACAGAAAACTTTGATCTCGTAAAATTCCTTTGCTGTTGTCTCGAGGTCATCGAACCTTTCTTCTAAGTGAGGCATCACGTTTAATTTTTTCAGGAGCAGCCGTAAAAGCTTCGACTTTAGTTCAATAAAAATGAAATAATGAAACACTGCAGTTCGTGAACTAGATAAACTTATAATTTATATGTTGAGACATTGATAAAAACAAATAAGAAACAGAAGACTCATAATCTTTACCTCAACTTGTCACTTTGACATTTTGTCAACTTATCACTTTGACATTTTGTCTACTTGTCAGTTTGACATTTTGTCTACTTGTCAATTTTATAATCAATTTATTAAATATTGCGGATGAAACTAAAAGAGATAAAAAATCCAATTGGTTTTATTGCATTAACGATCGTTTCTTCTAAATTATTGCAAGCACAATAAACACGTTTTGTTCAATTCACATACATAATTACAATTTGACATGTCAATTTGACATTTTGTTGATATGTCAGTTTGAAAATTTCTCAACTTGTCAATTTGACAATCAATTTATTAAATATTGCGGATGAATCAATAAATAATTATTTCATCAAAACTATTGTAAGTTTACCAGTAAATACCTTTTGTTCAATTCACATGTATAAAAGTCAATTTGTTGATTTATCAACACGTTTGATAATTTGTCAACTTCTCAACTCGTCAATTTGTCATATTTGTTACAATGTCAAGTTGTCAGTTTGACATTTCGTCGATATGTTGATATGTCAATTTTCTTGTTGACCGTCATTTTGCGAGCGCACCCGTACACTTTCTAGTACGCATAAAAACAGTCGCATTTCTGTTTCAGTTATCACTCGACGTTTCGATTTTGCACGTACCGCACATTCTTCCATCGCTTCTCGTTGTTTTTTTTTGCAAAGAAAAAAAATTCTTAAGAATGGGTGAGAGTAAAACTGGATTCTTTAAGAAAAGTTTCGTTATTAATTTATATATATTTTTTTCTCTCTCTCTCGTTGCAGCTAAAATGAAATCTTCGGATCACACCTACTTATTAGTGAATTTCTACGCCGATTTAAAAATGCATTTTAAGATTGTTCTGAGCAGTAGCATAGTGAGCTGCAATTATTCTAGTCTGGACGAAAACATTTTTATACAATTTCCCGACATGATCCGACAATGCAGAGTGATTGATACATCGAGTAAGTGGAAGTTTTTTAAAAAAAAAAAACGTAAATTTATTGTTATTTTTGTTGTTATTTTACAGATAATAGGTTTGATTTGGAGCACCAAATACTTAGTTTGGAATCGAAATGTGGCTTGATTGCTACTGCTGCTGCTGATGGTGGTGGTGGAGAAGAAGATGTGAAACCATATGTTAACCTTCCTATTGTTAATGAGAACGATTCAGTTGTTGAGGATGGGATTGTTAATGAAGGACACGTAGAACCTGAGGTTAACCGTCAAGTTACTGTTACTATTGAAGAGCTTCTCGTTAACGAGGAAGGGCGTGCAATTGATGAACGGTATGTTAAGGAAGAGACTGTTGAGAAGAGAAAGTCTGTTGATGAGGAATACGTGGAACCAGATGTTAACCGTCCAGTTACTATTGATGAAGAGTTTGTCAAAAAGGAGAAGTCTATTGTGGAATCTGGGGTTAACCATCCAGTTACTGTTGAGGAAGATCGTGTTGATGAGGAAGTCTCTGTTCAAAAGAAACAGTGTGTCGTTAAGAAAAAGTCTGTCGATGAGAAAGACATGGAACTTGAGGTTAACCATCCAGTTGCAGTTGAGAAAGATCGTGTTGATAAAGAAGGTTCTGTTGAAAAGAAGAAATCTGTCGTTAAAGTTAACCTTCCGGTTATTGTTAGCGAAAGAACTGTCCAGAGACCGCAAAGAGAAGCAGCGAAACGCAAGAGTTACGCAATTGATGAATCATCTTCTGACGTTGATGATTATGGTAATAATCATATCAATGATTGTGATATAGTTTGGGAGAATGAATTAGTCAGATTCGGCAAGTACCAAACTTCGATTACTGCGGAAGCGTTCAAAACTATAGACTGGAGCTGTTACGTTGCAGCGACTCGCCAATTGCTCCGGATTATATTCACCAGAGATATCTTAGCTACGCACACTTTAACGGGAAGACGTTCTTCCCTCAATGTTAAATTAATGACGAAGCCGAAACCGCAGCTGGACTTCAGGAAGATCGAGGATCTGATTTCGATCGTCTCGAAGAGATGCGGCGTGAACGACGGGTTCGCGATTCGACGTATCGTCAGGAACAAATGTTCGGATGAAAGGAAAGGGTTGAGTAGAATACAATACAGAAAGAGTCGAGATAGTGTTGAAGAAGGGCGTGTAATAGAGAAAGGGTGTGTTGAGGAAGATCATGTTGACGAAGAAGAGACTGTTGAGAAGAGAAAGTCTGTTGATGAGGAATACGTGGAACCAGGGGTTAACGCTCCAGTTACTATTGAGGAAGAGGTTGTCGAAAAGGGGAAGTCTGTTGAGGAATCCGAGGTTACTGTTGAGAAAGATCGTGTTGGTGAGAAAGTTTCTGCTAAAAAGAAACAGTTTGTTGTTAAGAAAAAGTTCGTCGATGAGAAAGACGTGGAACCAGGTGTTATCCCTCCAGTTACTATTGAGGAAAAGGTTGTCGAAAAGGAGAAGTCTATTGTGGAATCTGAGGTTACTGTTAAGAAAGATCGTGTTGGTGAGAAAGTTTCTGTTAAAAAGAAACAGTTTGTTGTTAAGAAAAAGTCCGTAGTGGAACCAGGTGTTAACCCTCCAGTTACTATTGAGGAAAAGGTTGTCGAAAAGGAGAAGTCTGCTGAGGAATCCGAGGTTACTGTTGAGAAAGATCGTGTTGGTGAGGAAGTCTCTGTTAAAAAGAAAAAGTTTGTCGTTAAGAAAAAGTCCGTTGATGAGAAAAACGTGGAACATGAGGTTAACCTTCCAGTTACTGCTATGAAAGATCCTATTGATAAGGAAGGCTCTGTTAAAAAGAAGAAATCTGTCCAGAGACCGCAAAGGGAAGCAGCGAAACGCAAGAGAAACGAAATTGACGATGATTCTGACGATGTTGATTATGTTAAGAACGATGAAGAGACTGTTGATAAGAAACAGTCCGTCGATGAGAAAGACGTGGAACTTGAGCTTAATCATCCAGTTACTGCTATGAAAGATCCTACTGATAAGGAAGGTTCTGTTAAAAAGAAAAAATCTGTCGTTAAAGTTAACCTTCCGGTTAATGTTAGTGAAAGAACTGTCCAGAGACTGCAAAGGGAAGCAGCGAAACGCAAGAGATACGAATTTGATGAATCATCTTCTGACGATGATGATTATATTAAGAACAACGATAATAACCATATCAATGATGATGATGTAGTTCGGGAGAATGAATTAGTCAGATTCGGCAAGTACCAAACTTCGATTTCTGCGGAAGCGTTCAAAACTATAGACTGGAGCTGTTACGCTGCAGCGACTCGCCAATTGCTCCAGATTATATTCACCAGAGATATGTTAGCTACGCACAGTTTAACAGGATACCGTTGTTCCACCAATATTAAATTAATGACGGAGCCGAAACCGCAGCTGGACTTCAGGAAGGTTGAGGATCTGATTACGATCGTCTCGAAGAAATGCGGCGTTAAAGACGAGTTCGCGATTCGACGCATCATCAGGAACAAATGTTATCTTGAATTTAAAGCGACGAGGAGATTAAAATACAGAAAGAGTCGAGATAGTGTTGAAGAAGGGCGTGAAATAGAGGAACGGTATGTTGAGGAAGATCATGTTGATGATGAAGAGACTGGTGATAAGAAAAACTACGTCGATGAGAAAAACATGGAACATGAGGTTAACCTTCCAGTTGCTGTAGAGAAAGATCGTGTTGGTGAGGAAGGTCCTGTTAAAAAGAAACAGTTTGTCGTTAAGAAAAAGTCTGTCGATGAGAAAAACGTTGAACATGAGATTAACCTTCCAGTAGCTGTTCAGAAAGATTGTGTTGATGAGGAAGTCTCTGTTACAAAGAAAAAGTTTGTTGTTAACAAAAAGTCCATCGATGAGAAAGACGTGGATCTTGAGGTTAACCTTCCAGATGCTGTTGAGAAAGATCGTGTTGATGAGGAAGTCTCTGTTAAAAAGAAACAGTTTATCGTTAAGAAAAAGTCTGTCTATGAGAAAAACGTGGAACATGAGGTTAACCTTCCAGTAGCTCTTGAGAAAGATCGTGTTGGTGAAGAAGGTCCTGTTAAAAAGAAACAGTTTGTCGTTAAGAAAAAGTCCGTCTATGAGAAAAACGTGGAACTTGAGGTTAACCTTCCAGTAGCTGTTGAGAAAGATCGTGTTGGTGAGGAAGTCTCTGTTAAAAAGAAAAAGTTTGTTGTTAAGAAAAAGTCTGTCTATGAGAAAAACGTGGAACATGAGGTTAACCTTCCAGTAGCTCTTGAGAAAGATCGTGTTGATGAGGAAGTCTCTGTTCAAAAGAAACAGTGTGTCGTTAAGAAAAAGTCTGTCGATGAGAAAGACGTGGAACATGAGGTTAACCTTCCAGTAGCTCTTGAGAAAGATCATGTTGATGAGGAAGTCTCTGTTAAAAAGAAAAAGTTTGTTGTTAAGAAAAAGTCCATCGATGAGAAAGACGTGGAACTTAAGGTTAACCATCCAGTTACTGCTATGAAAGATCCTCTTGATACGGAAGGTCCTGTTGAAAAGAAGAAATCTCTTGTTAAAGTTAACCTTCCGGTTAAAGTTAGCGAAAGAACTGTCCAGAGACCGCAAAGGGAAGCAGCGAAACGCAAGAGATACGAATTTGATGAATCATCTTCTGACGATGATGATTATGTTAAGAACAATGATAATAATCATGAGAAAGAATTAGTCAGATTCGGCAAGTACGAAACTTCGATTACTGCGGAAGCGTTCAAAACTATAGACTGGAGCTGTTACGCTACTGCGACTCGCCAATTGCTCCTGATTATATTCACCAAAGATATCTTAGCTACGCACAGTTTAACGGGATACCGTTGTTCCACCAATATTAAATTAATGACGAAGCCGAAACCGCAGTTGGACTTCAGGAAGGTCGAGGATCTGATTACGATCGTCTCGAAGAAATGCGGCGTGAAAGACGAGTTCGCGATTCGACGCATCATCAGGTACAGATGTTCTATTGAATTTAAAGCGGCGACGAGATTAAAGTACAGAAATAGTCAAGTTAGTGTTGAAGAAGGGCGTGTAATAGAAGAACGGTGTGTTGAGGAAGATCATGTTGACGATGAAGAGACTGTCGAGAAGAGAAAGTCTGTTGATGAGAAAAACGTGGAAGCAGGGGTTAACCATCCAGTTACTATTGAGGAAAAGGTTGTTGAAAAGCAGAAGTCTGCTGAGGAATCCGAGGTTACTGTTGAGAAAGATCGTGTTGGTGAGGAAGTCTCTGTTAAAAAGAAACAGTTTGTGTTAAGAAAAAGTTCGTCGATGAGAAAGACGTGGAACCAGGTGTTACCCTCCAGTTACTATTGAGGAAAAGGTTGTCGAGAAACCTTCCAGTAGCTGTTAGAAAGATGTGTTGATGAGGAAGTCTCTGTTAAAAGAAAAAGTTTGTTGTTAAGAAAAAGTCCATCGATGAGAAAGACGTGGACTTGAGGTTAACCTTCCAGTATGCTGTTGAGAAAGATCGTGTTGGTGAGGAAGTCTCTGTTAAAAAGAAAAAGTTGTCGTTAAGAAAAAGTCTGTCTATGAGAAAGACGTGGAACATGAGGTTAACCTTCCAGTAGCT